CCTTTGCTCAGTCAGGCCCAACTGGGCCAAGCTCTTGAGCTTCCACATTTGACCCTGTAACTGAACTGGCTGCTGAGAGCAACACTTATCCCTTTTAAGGACACCTGCAGCCTCAGTCTATTCTGTGTTCCCTTGTGTTCATTGCTCTTTCTGATTCTCCTGGCTCCTGACTCAGCTCTTAGATCTTCCCTAGAACTCAGCACCCAGCTTTCTGATACTCCTGACTTCTGATCTTGGCTTGCACCCTAGACTACATCTCTCAGATCTCCTTCTCAACTCTACTGGGGCCTGGTCCTGCGTTCCCTGCTCTGCTGATCTAGATCCCAACCTGATGCTCCATTAACCTGTACCCTCACTTAGCTGACCTGCTTGTTGCCTTTCAGGGCCTGCCTACAGTCCCAGTCCCTTATGTTCCAGTCAAACTGGCACACAGGATGCTGCAGTGCTGCTCAGATACCAGGTGGCACTAATCTGTTCTAGCTGCCCTTCAATGCTTAACTCCAGCTTCATTTCTGACATGGTATTTTCAATCAGCTCTGGGCTGTTTAGAACTTCTTCCGGACAGCTCTATTTTTTATGGACTTTATGGAAATGGGTTTTTAGCCTGGTTATTTATGGGAAGTCTGTAAATTATGGACAGCTGGCAACTCTGAACTTGTCGCCTTCTACATCCTTTGTGTGTGTGTTCTAACCACTAGGTGCAGCTGCAAGTTACATGATTGCTTCAGGATTTTTTTTCATTGGACCCTATTCTCTGTTTAATATACTTAATTTTCAGATGCAACTTAAACAGAAGAACATGGGGAATGTACAATATAAATGTATTGGTACTGGCTACTAGTTACAAGGCTTAATTTGACCTGCTTTGAGAATTATTTTTTCAGTGCCAACTACTTTGATTAGATATTTTTGTGAAAACCAAAAGCACATTTTTGTCAAATGTACTAATCACTGGGAGGGGAAGAAGGAAAATCTTGCTCTATTGATAATATTTTATGAGCTTCGTTTCTTACATGTCAGAGATGGCAACAACACTTTAAGAATTTTTAGTGAGTATGAAGCAGTGTGTATAGACACGTGAGGTTATTATATAAATTAGGGTTTTAAACAAATATACACTGCTTTTAAATATTTATCTATTGCTTATATAAGTCAGTTTATTTGTATATTGATCTTTCTTCCATATGAAGGAGATTGAAAATATTAGTCATCTTAATGACTTTTCTTTGAGACTAACCAAGTATCCTAAACACTAGCTGTGTCTTGTTTGCCTGAAAGTCATAGCCCTTTCAAAGGCACTGTAAACTGTGGAAACAGAGTGACTTCTCTCATAGACCACTTTGAGAGAATAGTCTGGCAGGGTTCAAGATCTGATTTGAAATATACTTTTATCAGACAATTTCAGAGGAAATTTGCATAACTAAATCAAAATGCATCTGAATTATTATTATTAATAATAATTATAGTAATATTAATTGATGATAATTGTTATTACTATTAATAATAATGATAATACCAATAATAATAATCTGTTTTACATTAATGGCTGCTTTGCTGTACTTCCCTCAAGCTGAAGTCAGCATTTCTCCTTGTGGCAAATGCCATACATACTTTTAACTTTCCTTTTATTTATGTGCTAAGAATGGATGAATTAAAGTAAGTTGTCTTTCATCTACATAATTAACACTTGCATGAAGCATAAAATGTGAAAATTAGGAACGGGGATGCAATCAGGTGGGGAATCTGAACCTGCTTGAACACTGCCAGTCTGAAATTACTTGACAGATCAACCTTTTGAGATTCAAGTTCTATTTAGTGAAATGTCAATCTGGAACTGGCTGAGTAGGAGGGACATATTCACTCATTCCACTAAGAGAGCTAATGAAATTGCAGTAGCTGGAAAAACAGTGTGAACACTTCAGGTTTCAGTTTTCAAAGTCTTGTGAATTAAATTTTGAAAAGTTGTTCTTCAAAGGCTGGAGATAAAATTGAAATGTATCTGGGGTCTATGAATTAAAATTTAAATCTCTAAGATAAGTCACAGTAGAAGCCACCAGCTGCCCATGACCCCCACATTAACTTCAAAATATTACTGTGTTACCTCACCCAAAGTAAAAATGTTCTGGGGGAGGAGGGAGGCATGGAAAAGGAGATGCAGTTGGTACTTTGGGGTACATAAATGCAGGTGAGGAAATGTTTTTTGATTTTATAAATGTGCAATCAGTATCACTGTATATTTACTTATTGAAGCATGAGCCAAGTATCCTGGAAAAATGAATCTGAAACTCAAGATTAAGTAGGTAACATAACTATGCTATGCAACTCTAGTTAACAGTATAAGCAAAATAAGATTAGGTATCATGAACAGGACAGAAGGAGAAAGAACATTGGAGGGGGAAGGCTGACAAACTAGAAAAGAAAAAAAAATTAAGGTGCAACAAAAAAAACAAAAAAGAGGACAAAAGAAGTAGAAAATAGTAGGAAGTTTAAATTTGCTTAAAGAGACCTAGGATTCAGGAAAGAGGAAACAGATCCACAAACAGCTCTACATCTTGAAACACCTACTTCTCTGGCCCACAAAAAGCAGAATCTATAGATCCAAGTTAAGTATCAGGTTGCCTAAACAATGCTTGAGGAATTACGTACCTCATAGGTAAACAGAATTAACAACTGACAGCATGAGCAAGGAACCAAAGTTATGCCACAGAAAAGTATGATGATTTAAAAATTTGAATTCCACCATCTCCAACCCTGGGCTCAGGTAGCTAACTCTGGGATGCAGAAGGTCTCTCCACTTGGGATTCACAACTCAGAATCCTCCCCTGAGGATGGGCACATAAATATATATAGACTAATATAGCTAACTATATCTCTCCAATAATTTATCTGAACAGCAAAGAGGTCATTACTACCTTTATCTTAAAATGTAGTTGAAGAAGGAATCCTTTTCCTTCTTCATTGGTCAGTGTAACCAGGTATAGGCTCAAGGAGTGACTGGAATGCACCTTGACATCCATGCAATCCTTACCCTGGTCCAGCTCTAGGGTGCCCTCCCCTTCTCACTTTTCTGCCATGCCTTGATGTAATTGTTTGATTGGAAAGGAGGCTGCCTAATGGGTCCTAAAGCATGTTAAGTGATAAAATAGGATTTAGGGCAACTGTTAAAGGACTGACATGAGAACTCGTTCAATGAATGACAGAAAGGCTTTATTTACTACAAGTACTTACAGTTAAATGAGACTAAAGAAATGCAAAGTCCAGTATTTAGCTGTAAATGTGATAATTTCTCATCCTCAAAGGCAAAAGAGGCAGTCTGTTTCTTGTGAGCTTCAAGGTGTGGATCCTTTTACGTAGAAGACCAGCTGGGTGCAGTAGCAGTTTTGTCAGAGTGAAGCATGCCCTGTTAGCTGTTTCATTCCTCTTTTATACCCTTTAGTTCAGCATCTTCAAAGCATTCTTGTAGTTGTGTAAATCAAGGTAGTCCCAAGCAATAATTGACAGGAAAATCCTGTTAACCAAACTGCTTGTTATTGGTTATCAGAAAGTCCCCCATTTTGAATTACCTTCCTCAGTGACAAGAGGTTCTCTATTACTACTAAGTTGGAAAGTATCAGGAAATTGATTGCTTGCCCCGGCTCCACATAGGCATGGAGCCAGAGTTGCCTGCAGCGGGACTAGGATCACACACTGGCCCTTCTGGCCCTGGACCACAACTGCCAGAGGGGGAGCCTCCCATGGCAGGGGACCATTGGCCACTGTTGCCCTTGAGCAAGCTCCTCACCCACCAGGCTTGCTGTGGTGTACATACCCATGGGAGAACAGCCAGAGGCCAGGGTGCTGCCACCTGTCCCTAGGATCTGCCCCCCTAGGTGCCCCCACCCCATGCCCCTTCACCCTGGGATGGCACACTTCATAAGTAGTTTTCACAGGGAAGAGGATGTTTTATCATTGGTGGTTGGGGTGGATGGTGGAGGGGCTCTGTTGCTGTGAGAGGGAAGGAGCAGGTTTAGTTTGTTGGGGAGGGAGAGTGGGGCTTTGTTTGTTTGGGAGGGGGAGTCTGTATGATGTGAAGGGAATAAAACCTTGTTCTTTTGAAATGTGTCTGCAGTGAGCATGATGCTAGAGGTGGGCGAGGGGTAGGAGGGTCTGTGGGGTCCAGGCCAGGCCAGCTACAACAGGGAGTGCAGAAAGAGGTGGTCAGCCAGTGCCTCTTGTACCTGGTGCCCTGGCTCCCAGTGGTGGGTGTGCAGCTTGCCTGGAACCTCAGCGGGGGCACCTGTTGCTGTTGCTGTCACAACAGGTAGAGCTCCCGCTGCCAGGCAGCCTCCATCTGCCATGCCACCTTCACCCAGACCTTATGGAAGAGCTCCCCGTGGGCCTCATAGATGTTATGCAGCATGCAGGCTGCTACAGTGACCCAGGGAAATTGTCCTCAGAGAACTTGATGGGGGCAGTGAAGGTGCACCAGTGTCCCTTGTCATTGGTAAAAGCATGCTCCACCAAGGTATGGGTCCAGCCCAGACACCAGTTAAAATGGGCCTGGCGGGGGTCCAACAAGCCAGTGTAGGGCCACATGAACCAGGGCAAGAGCGGGTAGGCAGGATCCCTGATGAGGAGGGTGAGACAACTATGGCACTCAGCAGGAGGCTGGTCTGCACAAGGGCTGGCAGGTAGGAGTTATGGAACAAGCAGGTGTCATGGGCACTGTCTGCATAGCCAGCACTCATGTGCATGAAGGCACCACAGTGGTCCATGATGGCCTGGAGCATGATGGGGTGAAGGTCCCTCTGGATCAAGAGGGGTGGTCCCCATGGGGTGGGCAGGTGATGGCGATGTGGGATGCACTGAGGGAATCCCAAGGCATGGAACCCCACCACCACTGCCAGAGGGTCATGCAAATGGAGCACTGTGTGCCTCAGCATGTTCTGGAGTGTGCTGCACACTTCCAGGATGACCTCCCTGGCAGTGGCCTTGCCCACCCCAAAGAGATGACCCACATAGCAGAGGCTGGCAGGTGTGGCCAGCTTGAGCAGGGTGAGAGCCAGCCAGGTATCCATGGGGAGGGGCAGTAGTATGGCAGTTTCTGAGACAGACCTGCTGCTGGCAGGCAGAAATGATTGACTACCTCTTCTGGGACTGCCCATACTCCCTGGAAGCGGGGAAGAAAGTCCATGTGCTCCTCCTAGTGGTGACAGGTTTCAGAACCCTGACCAGAAAAGCAGTCCTCTATGGGCACTTGATCAAACAGCAACTGGCCCTGACAGTTCACTTCGACCAGTTCATCCCCTGCTTCAGGTATGCCCTGTGGAAAGTCAGGAACCTGCTCCTAAACAAACACTCAGATCCCACAGTCAAGGAGTGAAATGTACTGGTACTACAGAAAGACAGAAGAGGACAATGGGAAAGAAATGGCAGGCCTCATATGATGAAGAGGGGACTGGTATAAACTTTTTTCAGAGGCAAAGCCTCTGAAGCAACAATGAGTGATAACACTGGAATGGTAATGTGTTTGCAGGTACGCAACTGTGCAGGACGAACTGTGTAATGGGACTACAATAGTTTAACTGTCAAAGTATGTTTTGATCTGCCAAGTGAACCACAGTGGTCACTTGACAGGTTGCTAGAAGTACAGTGATCTATCTATCTATCTATCTATCTATCTATCTATATAAATAAATAAATAAATAAATAAATATTTTGTGCAAAAAAAACCCAAACCTGTATGGCAGTGTCTTGCACCCCAGGTGTGGCTAGAGCTGCCCCAGGAGGTCCAGGAAGGTGCCCTGTGTCATCCTGAATGCCCCAGCCACTGCTTGTCATCCCAGGTCTTATGGATGATGTGCAGCTACCAGTCCTGGCTTGCCTGGTGGGCCTAGAGATGGTGGGGCTTCAGGCCCAGGAAAGCAAGCATGGCCCAGGTGGTGGCATCCAGCAGCACTCCAGTGTCATCCTTACTGGGGTCTGGCCAGCTAGACAGGATCCAGGCATCCACTGTGCAGTGGTGGTGACTCTGGGACAGTATAGTGGGGCTGGGCAGGTGGTCACTGCATGTGGAGGAGCCATGTAGGGCCATCTGATAGTCAGTACACTAGGGCAGCAAGGCCAGCAGGAACCCAGGGTGCTGGCTGATGCTGCCAGGGCAGGGGCTAGATCAGCCATAGTGCAGGGAGGCAGAGGCAGCCCCTGTGTTGTGCACACTGCTCTGGGCCAGGGAAATGGCTGGTCAGGGAGCAGAAAGTGGGGCTACCTTTTCAAGAGAGCTGCTGGCTGTTGGAAGCAGCAGCCAGAGTCTGGAGCTTCTCCTGGTGGCAGCAGGGACTCATTTCAGGGTCTCAGGAAGTGGAAGCAGTTTGGTGCTAACAACAGCAACTCTGCTGCCACATCCCTGCACATGTAAACGCCTGCCTGGGAGCATTTACTCGGAAGTAGTTTACTTGCAAGTAAACTGATCTCTGATCAAATGCACATGTAGACACACCCAGTGACTAAGGTATTCTCCTCGGTGGTGGATAAAGTTGATGCAAACCCCCTCTGAAACAGGTAGGAATTGAACTCTGAACTCTACATCCTGGGGATGTTGTCTAACCAGCAGACAGTTGTATAAAGATGGAAAAGTAGCATCACTTCCTCAGACTCTTCTGTATTTTATATGGATCATGATCCTTTAATCATGTGCTGAGTATGCTGTGAGCATATGTATTTGGTTTGATACCTCGTGTGCAAGAGAAACAATTTGTTTTTGAACCTTGATGAAGTTTGTTAAGTACCAACAATAAGAAACATCTGGGCATGCAAAAAATAGACCTTTATTAGCCAAAGCATATGAGACCTCCACGGAGCACTTGAAAGTGCTCAAAGCACCCGTTGTGACCTGTATGTGATAAAACAGAGAAGTACAATCAGCAATCAAATATGCACAAATAAAGGTATAACATCAGGGC